ACACATTTGTCATGCTTGAAACATTACAAACCTTTTTAGAATACTGAGTAAGTTGTCTTGTATTATTATGGATGTAACTTTCTTCAAAGAAGTATTTAAATTACCAAATTTATAATGGTGTACAAAAAAACAAATAAATTGCGCCTAAGTTGAGGTGTGATTTGTGCTACTTATATCGACGCAAGTAGTGTATAACGCGAGTCTGGCAGTAGAAGATTGAGAAAATAGTGAAGGAAAGAAAGGAAACAGAAAGCGATTGGTATGGAAATGGAGGAACAGGCAAGTTTAAGACAATTGGTTGACATTTTGTAAATGAAGTATGGTTCTCAGTTTTTAGTACAGTATTCTGTAATTTAGTGTTCAGATATAATCGGTTGTTCTCACCTATATTCTCCTTCACTACAGAGGGATAATCATTGGTCAACTAGAAAGGGCGTAATGGAGATAATTTCACGGTTTCATCTACCTGGTTATCATATCTGTTCATCGCCTTAAAGTACATACAGAACTTAAACGAACAGTAATGTTTTGAGCTAATAAATGTTTCGTTTCTAACGTGCACAACTTTAAAGATTAGAACCTTGCGAACTTAGTCTCATAGCTGATTACCACTGAGGACAACTGCTGTATAATGTGTAGGTTTTACATGGTGAATATGTTCAGGATAAGAAGAGTAAGTAACCCACAGCCCTAAATGCCCTAGTACAGTTGAGATTGGGGAGAGTCAGCTCTCCCTCTCCAAACGCTCTCACATGGCCACACGTATACAGTCGTTACTAGGGAAGTCCTATTCACTGCCTTCTAGCGATGGGAGTGTTGTTTACGAAATCGAAAGGACGAAAAGTAAATTTCCGACAGAGGAATAAACCGGGTTGGTGGACAAGGAGGTTCCACCTAGGGGAATCGGAAAACCCTCATTCCAAATCAATGGTGCACATGGGCTACAGGATCCTGAGCGAACAAATGGTGTATGAACCAATTGGTGGTGACCTGCTACCATGTGACTGCATCTCCTGACGTTGCTCCACTGCCTTGTGGATCAAGTCTTTACGTCGAAGGCTCTGGGTGTGACCCCCTAAGAAAACCACGTGCTTCGACCTGGACACACGGGCAGTATCACATCTCACACACAAATCAATTGACTTGTGTGGTGCATATGTTTGGTGCCCTTTTATACTAATATTAATGTGTTCAAGTAAATAATAAATAAAAATAATCTACTTATCTCATGGTTATGACTTTAGTCCCCTGATGTCAGTTTTTGATGAATATCACTGAATCAAATATTTCTACTTCACCAAAATATACCATAAATGATGAATAGTTGTACTCCCTGCTAAACGTAAGTTTTTTTTCAGTTATATTCCTTTTGAACCGATTTTTCTGACTGCATGAATAATTTCAAAGGAAAATTATAGGGATGCAGAGTGATCAGAATGAAATGGATGATCCAGTATTAATATTTCCGTCCTTAACATCTATCAAGCGAACAGCTGTCTTCAACTTTAAATTGTTCATAAGCCCTTTGATTATTGCTGTCATTCAGTCAAAAGAAACGTAGAATGTGGAGCATGTGTATATCACTATAAGTTGCCATACTCTGTTAACGCAACAAAATGGAATCTTCATAGTAAATAATAGAGCAGTGAAGGTAGTTACGTTATTAATAGTTACAAAGAAGACTAGGCACCAAAGACCTGATTCTGGAAGAAAATATAAATTTGTGAAATAATGTAAAGGTTTTGGGGAAAGTAGAAACTCAAGGTCTAAAGAAAGACTACGAGTGAATACACCATTGCATTTGTGAATGATTTTGATCAGTGCTACCAGAAGTACCCAAAAAGTAACTACAATGGCCAAGCGAGCTTTAACCAGGTAGTCCACACCTAATTACATGACTGAATTCAACAATCAGTGTTTCCGTGAACTCATGCTATTTCTTAGTTTGGCTTTCCCTAGATTTTTTCCAACCTACTCCTATATCAGCCATCCTTACGTTTCTAGGTAGTTGGCAGATGGAAATACGCACTGCACATCTAAACCACTACACAATTTCCTTCCATCATCTGGTATTTTCAAATAATTTATAGCACGATATCACTTAAATGTTTCTCAGTATTCGACATTATTTTGTTTCATTATAGACTGCTATTCTGAGTGGATAAACTAACTATATATACGATTGTACTGCTTAATCAAATAAAATCATCAAAAAACTATTTTATTCCCCGACTTAGTTTTTATACTTGTTCATTGATATAACAAATATCTTTTAGGATTTGAAAATTCAGAATTATTTGGATATTGTGATTTAATTTTTTTATAGCTTAACATTTTTTTCCCAATTTAGACAGAACATGAATAGATGTATACTGAATAATACCTCCAAATGCCTTGGTACGGCCAAGAGTGGGGAGAACCCGCTCTACCTCTCGAAATGCTCTCACATGGCCACGCGTATATAACCTCTGCCAGGGAAGTGCTACTCAGTGCCCTCTCGTGGCGGGGATGTTGTTTACGAAAATGAGAGGACAAAAAGCGATTGTCCAGCGCTTTAACCGGGTTGGTGGACATGGTGAGTCCACATAGGGGAGTCGGAAAAGCTTCATTACAAAACAATGGTGCACATGGGCTCCAATATCCTGAAGGAACAAATGGCGTATGAACCTATTGTTGGCCACTGGCTACCATGGGACTGCATCTTCTTACAATGCTCCATTGCCTAGTGGATCAGACCTTCAGGTCGAAGGCTCTGGATGTAGCCACCTGAGAAAACCACCTGCTTCGGTTTGGGCACCTAGGCAGTATCACAGCTCTCACACATATCAAATGAGATTTGTGTGACGCATATGTATTTGGTGCCTCCTTGTACTAATATCTACGTGTTCAAATAAATAAATGCTGAATAATATACACCCATAGTTTCGGCTACATTTTATTGAGAGATTTTTTTTAAGAGAGTTGATCATACTATTCAACTGCCTAAATCCTATTATAATAAAATTTCACTCAGTAGCTCATTGGTTAGAAATTGAAATCTCCAATATGTGGTCTAAAGTCTTGAAAAAAGCGAATTTTGTTTTATTATCTATGTAATTTAAAATATAACTTTTCTGAAATTATTGGTTTTGTCCTTTTGTCACATTGACATACAGCGGAAAGTTATTAGTTAAAAAGTTTAGACAACACATTTTAGGCTCAAACTTGTCATACCCTCTGCAGTTTGAACAACTAAACACGTATAACAAAGTCAGTAAATTTGAGAATTCTAATTAAAGCATCGGTTCATTCAAAGTTGCAGAAGCACTTTGCTGAAGGATATCAACTAACAAGAAACTTGGACTGGACAAAGTTTCACATCGACCACTTTAGACTACTTAACCTTATTTATTTAGGCTTTAGTTTATAAGTTTTACCACAAAAACTTTATAGAATCAAAATATCTCTCATAAACTTAGCGAGACGTTTGATAAAAATACCGAATAAATACAGCCTTCTAAGACCCTGTGTTCCTTGCTTCAATAAAGAAAAATACATGAATTTGAAATTTATTTCATGCCTTTGTTCTGTAATCAGAGAAAAGGTTTCTTTCCGACACAACATAGACTAGTATTTATTGGTGGGTGATGAACATGATTGTGATCAGATATCTGTATTCATTACCCTCCATTCAAATAATATTTTCATATCTTTATTTTTGAGACGAAACCAGTTGCTGATTTTTCATTCGGTGTAAATTTAAAAACGCCCTTCCAACTGCTGTTAACATAGCCGATAAACTCTCTCTTCCACACTGTGTATGCATTCTAATCATCCCCTCATAATCCATCTAGTGGAAAAGCATGAACCTTGCTGAAATTACAGGTAACTGTTCGAACGACATAATTATCAAAATGACATAACCGCAGATGTTACGAACCAAGTTTTTTCAGTTCTTATAAGTGATTGGTGTCGTAAACGGTGTGTAGAGCTTTTAAGTTTACCACAATAGTGTTTACCGCCCATTAACGCTTTGCCAGGAACTTAGACAAATTTAGTTTTAGACACATTTTTAAATAATATTCTACTATATTACAATTATTAAGTTAACTTATTCATCATCAATTTTGATGATAGTAACTATCATTTGAGGTGTCATTTTTGAGCTTTTCTCAAGTTCTTTTGTGTGTACTTGAGTGAATTTAGCTTCCTAGTTTTTAAAACTGATGAACATTATGGAAAAGATGCAAATCAAGATGAGAAAGCTGGAAATCTCGATTACTTACTAAGGAAACTTGAGAAGTTCTATTTACTAGCTACTTTAAAGGTTCAAAAACGTACTAAAAATGTTTCCACTTAAAAGTTTGGTAAACCTAAATTATTTCATCATTGCATAAAATACTTAAAACACTACCAACAAACCTTCACTTCAAGTTGCATAAAGATTCAGAAATTCATAAACAATGCGTATTGATAGACGATAACTGAATGAAAAATTAACATCACTACAAGTTATTCATGTAGTTACAGTAAATAACTTGTCTGGTATGTACTGAACATCGTCAATAACGGACCTCGAGAACGGCGATCGTTGCAGCTGCTTACTTCTGCATTCGAGGCCCTCTAGATTGCTAATTACAATATACTGGCTTTTATCTTTGTAAGTTCATTTAGTCTTGTCTAGAAAACAGTAGGTCAGCAGAGTAAAAGCATTTATTAATTGAGAAGATATTTCAGTCTTTGAACTTAGATTATTTTCTCACATCCTGATAGAATGCAGTGTCACACATGTGTGAATGTACATAGTAAATCACTAATTCTTATGTTCTGAATTATCGAATTACCAGTGTAAGCCATTATACAAAAACAAGTAAGCTTTCAAGAGTAAACTTGAAGCCGGAGATTATGTCTCAAGCTGTTTTAATAATTGTTATTACCGGTGATATTTTATATATGTTACTAGTAGGAAAATTCAAAACAGTTGAAGATTGTCATAAATGGAAAGAAAAAAATCTACTTACCGAAGATCATAAGTACTTCTCATTAGTGTGCTATTCGTTGTAAAACCATAGACATTTGGTCCGTAGTTCTTTGCATAGCAATTTTTGCAGTACAAAGAACCCTTATGATCATTTGCAGTAAAACTGTCTAGAGCTTTGGAACATTGACCTATAACGAAGGTCAGTCAAAGGCCATAATCTTACAGCATTTGAAACATTGTTTATGAAATCCACGACCCATAGCCCTTACTTCTTCTGCAAAATAAACGTTTTTTGAGCAAACAGGACATGCTATTGGTTCGAATCTGTTTTTCATCATTAATTAATCAGCTATGAAGTAAATCGAAAGAAACCCATGTATTTTGAATGAAGCACAGATACACAGGACATGGCAATTCAAGGTTGCTTGTTATATTGAACAGGTAAAACAGGATAAGGGTTACAATAATTGTGAACAAAGACACTCGAACTTGTCCCTATTTAACCTTGTGTCTAATATTGTAGTAATTTTCATCTTTGTGTCCCATTCAGTGAGAGCAAATTCTGAAGGATTCAAACGAAACTATCTGAAGTACTATAGTATGAAGTGAAGTTTGAGGCTCAGCTGTTCGTAGGAAGAAAAATACTCACACCGTAAAATGACCAGCAAGGCCATATTTTTACCTTTTTTTTACTTTCTGTTTTCTCTTAATAGTCACAACAGTGACGTTGAATTCCGCCATCAGTTTTCTCTGGTCTTTGTTGTTGAAATAAGACTATTTATTGCACATTTTTTGACATTAAGTAATACCATTGTTCAAATTATCATGATGCTCTCAATGGTGTTTTTATCCATAAATGTCCAACTGATCTTTTTGTCTCTTGAGTCACTACGTTCTGAAAAAAAGTATTATGTTTCCTCTCAACACATCTCCTAAAACTAATTTGCTGTTCTTCAGATTATTAACTTGTACACTAAAGTTATAGTATATTTGAAGCTGTGAAAGCTTTTTGTGGTTATTTAAAGTATTTAAATTATTGTGCAAACTATGAATCTCAGAAATAACCCAAAACGACTAGATGGGCACAAACGGAAGTGTTGTATTTGGAGTTCGAAATTAGGCAATCATCAAGTACAAAGGAATCATTAGTTCGTACGAACATCACACTTTTCTTTATTTTTTTTAAAGCGTAAAATGCTCCTTGAATCACATGTGCAAAATGCACGATTATATTTTGACGGACAGTACGATATGTGGTGATGATGAGTTTGAATTTACGGTTAACAGAACTTTGACTTACAGTTGGGACTTTATAGCTCAGCCATAGAAAAGTACACTGATATCAACACCATAACTGAATCCCACAATGTCCTGAAACCAAGTTATTTTAAGTTCTGCATATTTTCGAGTGAGATAATAGAGGGTAAGTTCCAGCAATTTCGAAGTTGGAGATGGTTATCTGCTAGTTATAAGTAAACACAATTCAATGGATGGACTTCAAGTATACTGCTGGCTATCGTTATAATGCGTTTAAACATTTCTTTTAACTGATCGAAGGACAGCTAGAGACATGATACATAGTTTTGGTATAAGAAATAAAAATGTCTTGGCTCCTGAGCTCTGTGAAATCTCAGCGGACTATATGAGATGTCATAATGACTTCATGGAACGTCTAAACAGCTGGTGTGTAGTGGCATAGGGCCCTAACCACACAATCCCTAACGCTGATTACTAGACAACTAGGAAACTTGATCTTCAATATTTAACGCGGAGAAAATCCCAACTATGGAGAAGGCGGGAAGAAGGAATTGAATTAATTCGAGTTGACCGAATGGCAGGCGTGGTCTCTATTGGATGTTACCTTATATCTTCTACTCATATAAAATATATTGTTCTATCTCCAGCCTAAATGTGTTCTTCATCATATATTGATAATTGTTACGATACGATGGGTCAGTGTAGACAGTTATGTGAATTCCATGTCAGATCTTATAGATTAAGCAGTTACATCATGATTAGTTCACAATTTTAGGATCAGGTCTATTATTAGAGCAGTAGTAATATCATAGTAGACCATAATTCTACAAGTGCTCATGTATGAAAAAAGCAGAGAAAAGGGAATCCATAATAATGAACAAAGGCAGCTAAGCAATACTGACCAACTATTTTTTCAAATATTCTATACAATTAGCCAGAGTTTTTAGCCACCTAACTCGGGTACTCTTACACCGAAACTATCTAACATATTAACGATCATATAGTCTATGTCATGTAACTTGGTAGCTAAGATATCCCACAATCTATTGAAAGAATAATGCTTCAACAATCTTGTTCATACTTGATAGGTAAAAGGGATAAAGTAACAATGCATACTGAAAATGGACAAGCTTCTGCACGCGCTACAATTAGTTCAGTCGGAATCGTCAAACCTGATTCTGATGAAATAATTTAGCATTTCGTGACCAGTCTTTCGAGTTCAAGATGTGCATGACGTAAAACAGTAACATAATTGCAGTTCGTAGTTATCTAAGTAACTTGGGGTAGTATCATCTGACACAATCGCCGAAAGTAGGAGACTAAAATGGCAAATACGTTTTCTCAAGATTTTTCATTAACACATCTCTGCGAAGAAACTGTTCGCAAACCACAAAAATGATGGACTTTATTCTAGATTCAAGATACAATCACTGACCACTTAATAGCCAGAGTTCCTTGACAAATTTAAAAACTTTAACTAGGATACTAAATTATATCAATCCCTTCCCTGGTATTTGTTAAGCTTTTGATTTAACGGCCTATTCGCACCCTCAGTCTAATTATTAGAGTTCATACTCAACAGAGAAATGTAGCCACAAAATGCCTAGAACAACCTCGTCCCCTATTCCGTATTTGCGTAATTACTTCCCAATATTCCCTTCAACCCTATCTATTTTCACTGAATATATGTTGAGTCACACGGTCGATTCCTCATGGGGTATAGGATATATGTATTGCTTCGACCCTGTTTGCATCCTTGCCCTTTCTACATGACACCTCACAAACATAAAAAGCACGTAACGTGATGCTTACTTCTTAGTGTGGTGCTTTGGTGGTGGAATCTATGGGTATGGCAAAGCACACAATAAATATATCAGTTCTAGCTGTCACTAACATTGTGACTTTCAAATTGTGACTCATTTTCGATATCAGTCACCCGTTTACTATGTTACGAGTCCATTTATGACTACAAATGTTATAGCAATAAAAATGAGTTATAATAAATTTGACAAAGAATAAGCAAATTGGCATTCGAACACTTTATTTTCCTCACTAAATTTAAAAAATACATATAATCCTGAACTTTTAGCTCTTTTGAACCGTTTTCATGTGTACATTACTTTGCTCATTGAACACCATACTGTGGTTTGTTTTCTTTAACCTGATTAAATATGATTGCTTAGAAACTTACCTAATAAAAGAGAATGAGTTTAAGTGGTAATATCCTAGCTGTTTCGTTGCAAATGACTAAACTTCAGTAGTCATGACCACTGTCCGTTATGCTTTCCGCCCATCCCTTTCTATTTTTCAGTTCCCTCATGTTATACCACCGAAAGCATCTGTGGAACATACGACTTTGTCCTGCGCCATCACTTTTACCTTGGGAATTCATCTGGGATCACCATCAAAAAGCCCGAGTTAATGCACCCAATCTAACGTTTTTGAGTGGCTACCCTGGACTTTAATTCTATTAATTCTCGACCACCAACTGCTTGTCAGTATCAAATGCAATGAGTCAATCAAATAGCAGGTAACAGAATGTACCTATAAGTGTCGTACTTGTAAGCAGTGCTATTCATTAATGATTCCGGATTCCGTTAATAGAAATTCATTAATTATCCTCACAACAGACTCATCATAAATTATTGTTAATTAAACTTGGTTTAGTTAACATGCTCACAACAAACAGGCATCGTTAGACTTATGACGAAAATGTGACTGATTAATGTTGCACTCATAGTAATGTTATACACAGTTCCTTGCTGCAACCTATATTTAGCAAACAGGTATGAACATCCAAGTTCAACACTACCATAATTAAGGAGGTGCATGAAATGCAAATGTTTTCTTAGCTCATTTTTGCATATAACTCCGATATGGGTAAACAGATGACCAACATGACCACAAGTTATAAACAGCTAGAAAAGAACGTTAGTGTCCACTCGTCAGCATAGCCAAAAGCAATATATGCCTATGTAGTACGTGCTTGCCATAATTAAAAATCGACCATCTGTTGATGAATTTGTCTTCCAGATTAAACGTTATTTATCTCCACATGTTATCTTGTACAATATTTGAATACTTTAGCAATGTTTGTTTTATTACTGAGTTTCTTGGCCAGAAAGGAGATGTGAGTGTTTGAAATTTGTGATTTAGGTTGGATTGCTCGTTCAATTTCCACCAAGTATTAGGCCTGAATTACTTTGGATTTATACCCAGTCAGTCTGTAATGCAGTAGGAATTCAAGAAATAACTCATTGATACTTGTTATTTGATTCTAGTTCTTCTAGGGTTGTGTCGTATCATACGCTGAGAGCTTCAAGTTCACATCATATAACTATGAACGCCTCACTATGTTATTAGTTTACTTTATACCATGTTTATGATGCCAATCGGTTGGCGTAATTTCTTCAACCTTCAGTTTACAAACAGTTGCCAACATCCACGTTCAACACCACCATAATTAAGGACATAAAATAAATGCAAAAGTTCTTAAAGCACACTTAACCATAAAACTCTGATTACGGTCTATTTTTTGACTTGATAAATGGTGAATTTTACTAGCCTAAATTAGTAATGTTACAAATAACCACATTAAGCCTACTAAATATTCACACGGGTTATTAGCAACAAATATGTAAAACTACTAATAAACTGCAATAAATGTCATGTAACAATCACAAACGTTATGAAAATTATCGTGAGACGGAAAATACCTGATGAATAACGACATCCCGAAATCCTCGATAATATGTTGCGCATGCGCGAAAACCCACGGCGTAACGGCCTGATTGTGCTCTGCTTGTCTAAACACCATACCCTCAAAGCGCGCCAATGCTCATATTGGACATTAGAGTCATACTAACATTGATATTCTAGTATATGAAAATTTATCCCCTTTTTATATTGCTCATGTGCCTGATAAGACATCAACACAGTTGAGCAACCTAAGAAAGTAAAGCCTGTGGCATTTGTAAAACTTAGTCTTGCTTGTAAATTGGCATGCCTCGTGTGACATATTGTTATCTGAGGATACAAATTATTTCTATCTCTCAATAATTATTCAATTTTATGAACCCGA